ATAGTTTTCCACTCTTTAAATTCATATGTCATGTCTCCTCTATTCAAATCCATGAACCAGTCACATCAGCCCCTTTACAATGTAGCTTTTTCTTACTCCAGCTTCATCTCTAAAAACTTCTTTCATCTTTATGCTCTTAGATTACATTCTAGACATAATGAACAAGTTCCTGTTCTTAAAAGAACTATACTTTATCTGGCTTCCAGAATCTCACACTTGTTCTTCCCTCTCTTGGATATATCCTTTTGTTATTTCTCCTGGCTAAGTCCTATTTACCCTTCAGTAATTAAAGTATATGGCATTTCCCAATAAGCTTTCTCTTTACCTTCTCTCCCTAATTAGGTTAATTTCCCTCACTCTGAGCTAGCAGAGCAAACTGAATCCCTCCCTCCTATCATAAAAAAATACTTATACTTGGCATGGTGGCTCATACCTATAATCCTAGCACTTTGGGAAGAAAAGGGAGGTGGATGGCTTGAAGCCAGGAGTTCAATAGCAGCCTAAGCAAGTGTGAGACCCCATCTCTACCCCCCCCAAAAAAAAGAAAAGAAAAGAAAAATTATCCAGGAGTGCTGGTATATGCCAGTAGACCCAGTTACTTAGGAGGCTGAGGCAGGAGGATCACTTGAGCATAGTAGTTTGAGGATGTAGTGGGCAATACTGACATTGTACTCTAGCTCAAGCAACAGAGTGAGACTCTGTCTCCAACAACAACAACAACAAAAAAAAAAATACAAGAGAACCTCAATAGTTGACGACCTCCCTAAAATGACAACCTACTTAATTAAGTTGATCTAATTTTCACAGACCAGACATGCACCACATGTATGTATCAGTACAGTAAACCTAGTTCCTTATATTGACTACTTCTGTATGTTGACCAGTTTATTACAGTTCTTTGGGTGGTCAACTCACAGAGGTTCTGCTATTCTTAGTACATTTTCTTGGAATTTCTTGTTTTATTATGTCTCCTTAGTGCACTAAGAGCATGAAGGCAGAAGCCATGTCTGATTTGTTTAACCCATATTTCCCTAGAGGTAGCAGAATTCTTGACTTAAAATTCTGAATAACTTTATCATAGTTAAAGCTTAGTTATAAGGATGGAGGCACTAGATAAATGCAAATACTTTACTATTTATTTAACAGAATAAAGATGGATGAAAAAGCACAGTTTACCAAACTCAAAATTGTACTGATTGAAACATGACAAAGGCTCCTAATATGTCAATTATATTAAGATTTAATTCAGAATTAGAAAAAGTAATTGCAAATTGTTTTGGACAGCAAGTGTTCCTGGGAAAGATTTCCTTACTCTAAACAGAATATATCAGTATATTTTTATGTTTTAAAAATAAATTTTATGATAATAAAACAAAGGCTCTATAAAATACACAAATAATATATTTTATTATATAACATTTAAGGTATATATGTTATGAGATAAAGACAGTGAAATGGTTACTATAATGAAGCAAATTAACAGATCCACTATCTTATAGTTACTCTATTTTTTGGTTTTTTGTGGGAAGAGCAGATGTGTCTGTTGGTGCGGGGGAGGGTATTGGCAACAGCATTCTGCGTACCTGGTATCTAATCCCAATTCTGTTCCTTATTGGAAGTGACCTAAATCATCTTAACCTTGCTGAGCCTCAATTTTTTCACCTAAATTGGGAACAATGGAATCTCCTTTCCCCACCCCCATCTGACTTTGAAAGCTAACAAAGTAACTTATATAGTGTTAGAATTAAAAAATAATGAATATATCAATACTGAGCTAATTCTTAAAATATCCACTAGAGAGCGCGGTGCCATCACTAGAACCATCTAAGAATAACTGCAATGTACTAAGTATATCTTCTAACACCCAAGAAATGAGGTCTAAGTTTAAATGACTAGACAAAAGGAAAAGTGAAGTGTTACCTACTTTGCCCTGAGTCCTATATCCCTTCAGCACTCCCCTCAAAGAAGTCTAAACTCCCAGAGGTCTTGGTTTGCTTCTTCACATTGTTTCGAAGGCTTACAAAGGGCACAATGTTGAAGGATTTTCTTAGACCACATACACGCTTTTTGGTTCCCTAGGTTTATCATCCTAGAAATAGAAGGAGCATTGAATTCACTATAAAATATAATCTTATGTCTTGTTTTTCTTTTCATCTTAACCTAAAGAGCTTAAGCTTTGAAGTAAGATAAAACTGAACTTGCGTCTTCAACCCACTACATTTTAGCCCTTTGATTCATTTTAATTCAGGTATGTATCCTTGATTCTGGGAATGTTAATTTGAGATACTTCAAGTGCTATTTGGAAATTGCACTGATGGAGCAGCTTTCCCTTCTTCATGGATATGGAATCATAGTTTCCATAATTTGAAACTGCAGGTTCTTGGTTTCTGGTAGTGATAGGGGTTGAAGCATAGAGGGATTTCTCTAGGCCATTTGGAGTCAAGCTTATGTTAGGAAACTAGTCTAGCAACGGAACCCATAAAGGATCTGATTCATCCAGTACATACTGTGCAGCAATTATAAATTGTGCTCCTGTCTTTTATTTTCATCACACAACCTGGTAATCTTCAGTATCATTGTCCTATAGGAAATTATGGAAGACTGAGGGCACAATATGGGGCAGAAAAGTAGAAAGAGGAGAGAATTCCCTTCTTTGAGTCAAGAGTGTTGGTAGTCTTTTACCAGTTGGAAACCACTGTTCTCAGGGGACAACAAACTCATGGCAGTCAGAGCCCACAAGAGAAACACTGATGTGGTAGCTTGCTGAGGATCTAGAGAGGACACAGGTAGCTTTATAGGAAACATAAATTAATAGCAGGCTTACTTCTAGCCAATACATTGCAATTGTGTGACTTTTTTTTTCTTTTTTTTTTTTATTGAACGGTAACTATGTACATTAATGCACTTGCAATTGTGTGACTTTAAGAATAGCATCCTCTCTGAGCTCATGCCTCACCCCCAGCTTTGGTATTTAGTGAGTGAAAAGTTTCTGTGGGAATTAGGAAACAAAAGCAAAAAACAAAACAAAACAGGTATATACCATCCCACACCAGGACTCAGTGAGTACAACTTGGTCTGAATTTCAGACCCAAGTTTTCTGCTATGCTTTCTGCAGTTGTGCAAGGCAGAAGCAGCACAAATTCTGTAATGTCCTAAGCATTAGCCTAAAAACTTCTAAGGAATGGTATGATGTCTGTATGGTATATGAAAGGTCATGGATTTTTTTAAATATTCTGCTGAATGGGTATCACCTGTGCCACTATTGTTTGAGTAATATATGTTTATATTTTCAAGGAAAAAAGACTAGAAATTGTGTGTGTATGTGCACGTACATGCACAGAGGGTGCCAAACAATGTATACACATTTTAAGAAAGGAAAAATCTGTATTAAAATTGTAATACTTAAGTCACATTTGACTTCTGCAATTACAAGAGACACAAGATACAATATACAAGATAGCAAATATCATTGGTATATATTACTACAACTGTGATATATATAGTTTTTTCCTTTCTTAAAGTATGTATCCTTTTTTGGCAAAGTCTACATATTCAAACTTGGTTATCTTTGGGTACAGGGATCATATGTTGTTTTTTATTTTTTTTTTGTAAATTGTAAAATTTTCTAAAATTAAAATGTATTAATTTTGTAAACAGAAAAGTTCAGTGCTTTTTTTTAAAAAAAAAAATTATAATGAGGAGTGATGTTCCATCTGGAACCTAAACTTATGTCCACCACTAGGGTTTAAAGTTTTCTGGTCATTTATGACATGCTGGTGGGGCTGAAATATTTTTGCACTGGGGGGTTTCCAAGGAAAAAGTCACACTAAGGGAAGAGCAGTCTGCTAGTAAGTTTAGCTCAGGAACAAAAGCTAAAGTTTTTGGAGAAGAGGAATAAGTCTTTCTTTCTGGGTTGCAGATTTTCCTTCTGACCAGCATCCTATAGTTAAATCTAGAAAGAAAGGAAGCTTACAAGTGAATTCTGAAGAATACTTTTTTTCAATTTTTATTATGGAAAATTTCAAACATATACAAAAGTTTAGAGAGGGTATAATGACTTTTCCAATATCCATCACACCACTTCAACAATGATCGATTCACAGCCAATCTTATTTTATCTATGCATTCACATACCCCATCTCAGGTATTCTGAAGTAAATACCAGTAGCATATTATTTCTTCTGTAAACATTTTTAGTACATTTCTTAAAGAATTTTTAAAAAGCATAACCAAAGTGTCATATCACTCCTAAAAAAAAAAAAAAACAATGAGTTGGGAAGATGTGTTTTATTTCAAATTATGTAAGATTTAGGAGCACAATCAATACATTTCATTGGTACCATGAAGAAGAGTGTAACACTAAAATGGAGTCCAAGATGTTTCTAATGTAATTGCCTTATACTAATGCAAAAGAAAAAGAAAGCAACCTACCATATTAAATCTACTTTGGGCACTTTGTAAAGAGCTGGGGAAGAGTTTTTCCCACCCCATGGAAAAACTCTATAAAATTTCCTCTAAACATCTTTGTCTTTCTCTTCAAGTTCTTCTCATGGAGGCAGGTAACCCAAGTCCTCTCTTTTTAAATCCTTCATTTTGTGTTCTCATCTCATAGCAACCTCTTTCCCAAATACCTTTTCTAAATGACAACAATTTAACTCTCTTTCAGTCCTCTGCATTTTCACATGCAGAAACTAGGTGGGATGGAGACATAGGAGAGCATACTAGAAAAGGGATGAAAACTATGGCCAACTGAATCTGTGATAGAGGCCAAAGAAACCTAGGTAAACTAAATGCCATAATTAAGTTTGAAAACTACCTACAGTGCACTCTTTGTTAGTTCTGGCATCAAATAATACAGAACATTAAACCTAAAATGAGAAAAACAGTGTTTTCCTCAAAGAGATGTTAAGATGACATGTAAGAAGCAGAGAATTGCAAAAAGCAATTTATTATTTCAAAATTTATTTTTATAAAAACTCACAGTATTATATTGAGTTATTTGAATTTATTTTTACAATTACCTTTATAGCAAGCAATATTTTTTCACTAAAGTTTTAAGCAAATTATCAACAGTACAAAAACACTAAAGTAGTTATATGAAGGACTGGTTCTACAAAACATTGCCCTAAGTGACAATCTTAAAACAGCAATCTTAAAACTGTGCTAACCACTGTGTGGTTATGACATACAAGTATGAGTAATAATGTTTGCCCTCAAACATCTTACAACTGCTTTGAAATGTTTCTGAAATACCTCATACACAAAAGCCACATACATGGTGCCAAGACAGCATATACTAGCACCAGAATAGAAGGGAATGTTTTGCCACACAGTGATTACAAAATATTAACTGAGTCAAAGAACCTTCAGCAATGCCAACTATATTTCAAGTAGTGTCTAAAACGCAGAATATGCAAAGAGTAAGGAAAAATAGTCTTTGTTTTCAAAGATAGCATAGTCCAATGAAGAAGGCAGATACATCAAAAAAGCACAACAAAAGGCTACAGGTGCTGAATTAAGAGTCTGTTCACGTACAATAGTACAACAACCAGAGCAAGAGCCAGTGGAATAGACAAGGAAGAGTGTCCCAAGATGCAGAAGAAAAAATAGATGAGCTGTCTCCTTGGGAACACGGAAGTGCTCACCTGTACTTGACAATTCCATTGATTGCTAGGTTTCTATCAGTGATTCTTTAGACCAATCCCAAACATATTTGCTGTTGATCTGGAAAAACAAACCAACATAAAATTAGCAGACTTACAGTAACAAATCCTGCAACTGACAAATTTAGTGCAGATTTATTATACACATCAATCACTTTGCATCAAGCACTTCACTTCACAGAATCATATAATGCAGGTACAATTGAGTCTAGATGAAAGCTGAGAGAGATACAGGCCAATATGTAACATGACCAAAAAAGTCAGGAAAACAGTGATACCAGAAGTTTTGGGAAAATGGAAGTGAGCATTTAAGACATAAAAAAAAATCCTAAATGCTATGTTTTGGACTCTAGGCTCATGGAAATAATTCAGGCCGGTTCCTACCCACCGAAGAGTTTACAGTTGTATGGCCATAAGTACAATAAATTGTAAAAATCATGACACAGAAAAAGATCTCCCAACTCAGGTGGTCAAAAAAGCCTTCTCATAGGAGATATTTATGAAGTATCTATTTTTATTATCTCCTACTACAGATTTTTAAAAACTGAGCATCAGACAAATAACTTGGCTGAGGTTAGAGTAAGATCTAGAATTAAGTCTGACTTCAAGCCCCCAATGTAGATTCTATCCTATCAAGCTCTATCTCATAAAAATGTCATGTTTTAGTACAGTCACTTTTAGTAACTTCTACTTCTCATAGTATGGTATGCCCCAAAATATTTAAAATGTCCTAAATACACTATATTTGTTAGCTTACCAGGAGACAATTACCAAAAAAATACTGATAAAACTCTTTCTAGTAGTGCCTAGTATATCCCTCCCACAAGAGAAGCCTGGCAGTGAAACCTCTGCCCAAACATATGTATAGTCTAAATGTAAACAAACTGGTGTTCTTAGACTAACCTTCTCAAATGAAACATGCAAAGAAATTTAAAACTTTTACATCAACTGTCACAAACAAATCTACAGAAGAATTGAATTACTTTTTCACAATTTACTTCCTTAGTTTGCTTCTGTAGAGTGTGGTCAACAGATTTTACATCTCAACACATACACAAGTTTTTGAAAAAAATTTATATTATATAGTACCAATTATGTTTCCACTATAGGCATCTATGTTAACCTCTATTTCCTCTTAATATAGTCACAAGAATAAAAAACATTTGACCAGCTGAAATTGTAAGCTACTATAAAACATTCAGAAAATAAATTTCTGATTCATGTCTGCAAACCTCATTTGTCTATGGAGACTACTGTTCTTCCTTGTTTTATTAAAGGTTGTAAAGTTTAGCTGTACATTTTAGTGCAATCATAAAGCAAATAATATATAAGTGACTTTTAATACTCTAGGAAGGAAAAAAAATCTCATCAGTGCATTAATTTTGGAGCACTGAGGTGGCAAAAATTTTCTATATACTACCTGTAGTCATCTGTTTTAGCCTAGAATCTGCTGGGAGCTGTTGTTAGTAATTATTCTGATGAGACTGGGCTAGAGAATATCTTAAAAAACTACTTAAATTGATCTGACAGTCAATCCTGAAAAACAGCAATATTTATTATAAATATTCCTAGCAAAAAGAAAAAAAAAAAAAAGAAAAGGGGTAAAAAAATCCCAACATATTTATAGGCTTGCAAGTTTGAAGAGTAAGTTAGTATGACTACTATAGATTTTTTTTACTTTTTCAGATATATAATTTAAGAGTCAAATAAGATGATGTATTGTTATAGCTAATAACAGCAGATACAAATTAAGCCTCCAAATATGAGACAACATTTCATATGGAAGGGGTTTGATCTATAAAAATACCCATTGAATAAAAAATAGTATACTTGTTATGTCAACATTCATATAGAATATAAGAATTTGCTAGAATAACTAGGTTATTGGGGGGAAATCTTAAGACCTACTTGAGACAAAATGAATAGTAAAGTCAGTTTGTTTGGAATTTTTAAATGTGTTTCAAACATATATTCAATATGTGTCACTTTGTTGGAAAGAAATTTTAAAACCTCAATATTTAATCAGACTATACAATTCAGATTAAACTGTCATTAGTTTTAAAACCCCACTTATTTTCTAGTTTACTCTTTCTTTTGACAGCATTAGAGCAGAAAATATACTGTAAATGAAATCTTGTACTTTATTTGTACTTCTATGCATAAAAAGACTTTTAAAACAGTGAAAAATTCATTAGAAAGAGCAATAGCACCCACTTTTTAGCATCATATAAAATATTAATAATTTGTCAAATTACAATACAACTGAAATGTAGAAAAATAAATGATTTGAAGGGTAAAATACACGAAGCACACATGGGGGCAACAAAAAAAATACGTGTTATATGGTTCTGGGCAGCACCTGTGGCTCAGTGAGTAGGGCCCTGGCCCTATATACTGAGGGTCGCAGGTTTGAACCCAACCCCAGCCAAACTGCAACAAAAAAATAGCTGGGCATCCTGGCGAATGCCTGTAGTCCCAGCTACTGGGGAAGCTGAGGCAAGAGAAGGGCCTAAGCCCAGGAGATGAAGGTTGCTGTGGGCTGTGATGCCACCACACTCTACTGAGGGAGACAAAGTGAGACTCTGTCTCTTTAAAATGTAAATATATATATATATATGTGTGTGTGTGTGTGTTATATGGTTCATTCAAAAGCAGAATTATTCTATACTATTAAAAGACAAGAGAGCGGAGGAATGATTAAAAGGAATGCAGTGGGCTAATAAATTACAAGTAATGTTAATTTCTTGATCTAGATGGTTATTTATGTGCGTTTGGTAAGTAAACATTCATTAAACTATAAATTTAAGGCCAAGTTCTGTGGCTTATGCCTATAATCCTAGCACTCTGGAAGGCCAAGGCCAGTGGATCACTTGAGCTCAGCAGTTCTTGACCAGCCTGAACCAAACTGAGACACTGTCCCTACTGAAAACAGAAAAACTAGCCAGGCATCATCGTGGTTACCTATAGTCCCAGCTACTTTGGAAGGTGATTGCTTAAGCCCAAGAGTTTGAGGTTGCTGTGAGCTATAACGATGCAACAGCACTCGACCCAGGGTGATAGAATGAGAATCTGTCTCAAAGAAAAAAAAAACTATAAATTTAAGAGTTACACATTGTTATGTATGTATGCTGCACATGAGTAAAATATTAAGTAACTTTTTAAAAAAGAGTAATGTCATTAAAATTTTAGCAATAATTAATCTAAAGCAGGTCATTTTGGGTAATAAGAATTTTTTTAAAGCAATCATTACTTTACATACTTATTACTTATTAGTTATGTTTTAAAAATCCTTACATGTTATATATAAAATGACCGTACCACCCCTAAATACCTTCTTCTCAAAGTAGGCTTCCCTTCTGCCTAAGTTCAGACATGACCATGGGAACAAGAGGAAGGTCCACAAGAGAGACTTAAGTATATTATTAAATGGGATTCCTGATTTCAATCAAACATCCAGGCAACCCTAAGAGCTTTTAATTTGGCACCCCCCAAATTTATTTTGTCCCCTGTAAGACAAAACAATTACCCGCCATCTTGAACAGAGACTGTTCAGGTGTCCTAACAGTTTGAGACATCTGTACCGCTGAGTATCAAGGGAGCTCACTCACTCAATGGGGATGCTATCATAACAGAATAGTCTGGTCACGAGGAGTCAGGGAAGTTTAACTGGAATGTCACTAAATTCAAATATGGGGGATAACTTTCTGTCAAAAAGGAATGTGAAACTCAGAGAACCATAATTCTTCTAGGGTGTCCAGTAAAGGGCAATGGGAGTTGGAAGTCCAGCATGCTAAATCACATTCCATAAACACAGTGTCCCTGATAAGACATGTATATCAAGATGTGTTTGGTTAGCAATGCCCTAGAAATATCTCTTCTGTAAGGTTAAAAATACCCTGTTAAACTGTATGGGGAAACGACCATTTCAAGTCAGCAATGAAAACATACCAGTTGTGAAAATTTGTTGAGAACCAAACGATCTACAAAGAAAGAGACAAAGAAATTTCTGAAAATGGCATATCAGATCACACTTCTGGAGCTAAAATTACTGCCGAGTGCAGAAACAGCACAAGATGCCAACAATTCCCTAAGTTGTTTTAAATTCAAAACTGAGCTTTTAAATCAACTCCCACCACAGAAGGGCTCCCTGACAGGGGCCAACGCTGTGAGAAAAAACTTCAGGGAGGAAAATACTAAGAGATGCCCACACAACCAAGCTGGTCAGACTTTAAAGGCCTCCACTACAAAACCAACCACGAGACTGGTTCCAAAAATGCTCACACACACTCAGGCACAAAATGTGTGACACGTTAAACAAAAAGGAAAACATCACAGGGTTTACCTACCCCCGCCCCCCAAAAGCAGGGTGAGCAGTTAAGGCACCTTGCACAAAATCCCAAACGACTCTGGATTATGGAAACATTGTACAGTGTAACGAAAAGCGATTCTGAAAGCATCTGAAAAACGTGCAAATTGTCTGAAAACAGTGCCTGGCAACTGAGACAGTTTGCAAGCGTGATTCAGAGGTCTGCCAAGGAAACAAAAGAGGCCTCCCTCCTCCCCGTGAGACCGCACATGGCAAGAGAGGTGCTCTAGGCAGAGCTCGTTCTAAGGCAGGCGGACAATCAGAAGTCTGTGCGGGAGCGGTACCTACTAGGGATCGCTATCAGGCACGGACGGGGCCACGGAGTTTCCATTGGTTGGGGAACCGCCCAGCTTTAGTTTTTCCAGATATTCGGCATGCACGGGCTTGTGGCACTGGAGAACCTTGATGGCATCTTCGATTTTGAACCACTCTCGTTTCCTCCCAATGTTAACCGAATCTTCCCAATCCTCCAGCAGCTCAGTGACGGTCAGTACGAACACGTACGTTCTGTGCTTGCGATCTTGGTTCTGTTCGAATACGCCCAGGAGCCGGCCTAACTTCCCCTTGACTCCCGCCTCTTCGTACACCTCTCGGACCGCCGCACCGCACGGCTCCTCCTCGGGCTCCATGCCCCCACCCGGCACGATCCAGCGGTCGGGGTACCGACTGCTACTCACTAACAGCACCTCGTCCTCGAGCTCGCTCCGGAAGCACAGGCACGCCGCCCGCTTCTTGAACCCCTCCGGGTCGTAGGTGCGCGTCTGGTTTGGCTTGCACTTCATCCTTGAGGCCGCTTCCTCCCACCGCTGGCTGCCGCCCAGTGAGCTGGCGAGATGCTGAGAAGAGAAAGGGACGAGACGAAGGGTCGGGAGAGCGCGGCGCTTTAACCGGCGAGCCCGGGCAGCGCAGGGTAAGATGAGGCGGGGGCGGGGCGCGGGCGGGGCGCGGGCGAGGCGCGGGCGGG